TTTATATTTTCAGTAGAGACTGTGTTTCGCCATGTCGGCCAGGCTGGTCTCTAACTCCTGACCTCAAGTGATCTGCCCACCTTGGCCTTCCAAAGTGCTGGGATTACAGGCATGAGCCATGGCGCTTGGTCGAATTCTGTTTCTAGTGCTGAGTTAAGAGTGTTATTTTGTGGTGACAAGGACCATTCTTTTTTTTTTTTTTTCTGAGGCAGAGTTTCGCTCTTGTTACCCAGGCTGGAGTGCAATGGCACAATCTCGGCTCACCGCAACCTCCACCTCCCGGGTTCAGGCAATTCTCCTGCCTCAGCCTCCTGAGTAGCTGGGATTACAGACATGCACCACCATGCCCAGCTAATTTTTTGTGTTTTTAGTAGAGACGGGGTTTCACCATGTTGACCAGGATGGTCTCATTCTCTTGACCTTGTGATCCACCCACCTCGGCCTCCCAAAGTGCTGGGATTACAGGCTTGAGCCACCGCGCCCGGCCAAGACCATTCTAAGTACTAGGTGTGTAGTTTCTCTTTTTTTTTGAGACGGAGTTTCGCTCTTGTTACCCAGGCTGGAGTGCAATGGCGCGATCTCGGCTCACCGCAAAACCTCCGCCTCCTGGGTTCAGGCAATTCTCCTGCCTCAGCCTCCTGAGTAGCTGGGATTACAGGCACGTGCCACCATGCCCAGCTAATTTTTTGTGTTTTTAGTAGAGACAGGGTTTCACCATGTTGACCAGGATGGTCTCGATCTCTCGACCTCGTGATCCACCCGCTCTGGCCTCCCAAAGTGCTGGGATTACAGGCTTGAGCCACCGCGCCCGGCCTTGTAGTTTCTTATTTAGTCCTATGAGGACTCTGAGAGGTAGCTATTAATTAGTTATTAATTAGCTACTAATTAACTATTAATCTTTCTATAGGGGAAGAAACTGAGGCACAGAGTAAATTGCCCAAGATGAACCACTAGCAAGAAGTCAGCAGGGCGGCCGGGCACGATGGCTCAAGCCTGTAATCCCAGCACTTTGGGAGGCCGAGGGGGGTGGATCACGAGGTCAAGAGATCGAGACCAACCTGGTCTCGATTGCCATGAGCCGAGATCGCGCCATTGCACTCCAGCCTGGGTAACAAGAGCGAAACTCCATCTCAAAAAAAAAAAAAAAAAAAAAAAAGAAGTCAGCAGGACTGTCCATCTGCTCTGTCAATGTCACTTAATCTCTAGAAAGAATGAAAAAACCTGATTGATATTATCAACTGCGTATCCTTGAACTTTTTATCAACTTTTCATATCCTTGAAAACTCATATGTTGAAATCTAATCCCAATTTGATGGTATTAGGGGGTGGTGCACTGAGAGGTGATTAGGTCAGGAGGGTAGGGCCTTCATGAAAGATATTAGTTAGTACCTTTATAAAAGGGATCCCAGGCTGGGCGTGGTGGATCACACCTGTAATCCCAGCACTTTGGGAGGCCGAGGCGGGTGGATCACGAGGTCAAGAGATGGAGACCATCCTGTCCAACAAGGTAAAACCCCGTCTCTACTAAAAATACAAAAACTAGCTGGGTGTGGTGGCAGGTGCCTATAGTCCCAGCTACTCGGGAGGTGAGGCAGGAGAATTGCTTGAACCAAGAGGCAGAGTTTTCAGTGAGCCAAGATCGTGCCACTGCACTCCAGCCTGGTGACAGAGCAAGACTCCATCTCAAAAAAAAAAAAAGAGACTTCAGAGAGCTCTCTTGCCCTCTTTGAGCCATATAAGGATACAAGAAGTTAACAGTCTGCAACCCAGAAGGGGCCCCTCACCAGAACCTGACTGTACTGGCACCCTGATCTTGAACTTTCAGCCTCCAGAACTGTGAAAATTAGATTTTTGTTGTTTATAAGTCATTCGGTCTATAGATTGTTGTAGCAGCCTGAACTAGACACCAAGTTTCATTCCTCTGGGGTGAGAGTCAAGGGAGGAAGGAAGCAAGGGAGGAAATGGGGGTTTAGGAATTATTTACATGAGGAAATCCATGGTAGGGCCTGAGTGTTCCAGTTCACCAGCACTGATCTCTGAGGCTTCACTTCTCTTTAGAACTCCACATACGATTGAGAAACTTGCCCATTCAGTGGGTGCCTCCAGATCACACAGCTTTGAAAAATAAAGGTTTTAGACCTTTGGAGAAGTAGACAAGTATATGCCCTGGAATTAGTCTAAGTAGTAACAGTTTCACCTAGCTGTTTCATAACCAGGCCTTGGCATAAGCCTCCCCATCCCAGTTTCCCTTCTTATTAGCTGTATGACCTTGGGTAACTCAACCTCTCTGACTCTCAACGTTTCTGGCTATAAAAGGGGCTAACAGTGCTCATCTCCTAGGCTTGTGGTCAGGATTAAATGTCTTGTCTACATGCCTTTGCACATGCTGTTCCACGCAACTGGTAGCGGTGTGAGGCTACTCATCCTTCATGCTAGCCACTTTGCTCTTTTGCCTGTACCTTTAGATTCAAGAAGGTAGATGTCATATTAATGTTACACATCATCCCAGCCTAGGCAACAGAGCAAGACTGTATCTCAAATACACAAAAACAGGCCGGGCACAATGGCTCACACCTGTAATCCCAGCACTTTGGGAGGCCGAGGCAGGCAGATCACCCAAAGTCAGGAGTTCAAGACCAGCCTGACCAATATGATGAAACCCCATCTCTACTAAAAATACAAAAATTATCCAGGCATGGTGGTACAGGCCTGTAATCACATGTACCCAGGAGGCTGAGGCAGGAGAATCACTGGAACCTGAGAGATGGAGATTGCAGTGAGCCAAGGTTATGCCACTGCACTCCAGCCTGGGTGACAGAGGGAGACTCCACCTCAAACAAACAAACAAACAAACAAAAAACCCCCACAAAAACAAAATAAAAGTGTGTGCAAGATGTTGGAAGAGCATGCAATAGAGTGTTTGGGGAACAGTCTTGGTTCTTGAATTTAATATAGGAGAATGTGGCAGCCACAGAAGCCACTTGGATCTGCCTTTACAAAATGGCTGAATGTGGTGAGAGCATTGGAACCCGGATACTTTTGCCCAAGGGGACTTCTCTTTTTTTGTTCTGGAATTTCCTGATGGGTTGACCTGTCTGTCAGATCTGAGTCTCCTTGCCGAACCCTGATTATTTCTCCTTCTCTGTCACAGGCATTACCCCTAACTTTATCTCAGCATCTCATCTGCTTTCTGGAGTACTTGACCTGACCCAGAAGGCCTGGAATTATTATTATTATTATTATTTTAATGAGATGGAGATTCGCTCTTATTGCCCAGGCTGGAGTGCAGTGGTGTGATTTTGGCTCACTGAAACCTCTACCTCCCGGGTTCAAGCGATTCTCCTGCCTCAGCCTCCCGAGTAGCTGGTGTTACAGGCATGCACCAATGCACCACCATGCCCAGCTAATTTTGTATTTTTAGTTGAGACAGGGTTTCTCTGTGTTTGTCAGGCTGGTCTCCCGACCTCAGATGATCCACCCACCTCTGCCTCCCAAAATGCTGGGATTACAGGCGTGAGCCACTGCGCCCAGCCAGGCCTGGATTCTTGAGGGACAAGGGGAACTTGAAGCTGTGCTTGCAGAGCAGTTTTATATAAAATCGACAAACTACCATCACCCATCCCAATGGGTAGGGAAGGACTGATGATAGGATAATAATAACTACCTCTAGGAAGATTAATCTAGAGAATAGCTATATAGTATCTGTCTATTAAGATACTCAATAAATAGTAACTGTTTTTATTTTTATTTTTATTTTATTTTATTTTATTTTTTTTGAGACGGAGTTTCGCTCTTGTTACCCAGGCTGGAGTGCAATGGCGCGATCTCGGCTCACCGCAACCTCCGCCTCCTGGGTTCAGGCAATTCTCCTGCCTCAGCCTCCTGAGTAGCTGGGATTACAGGCACGTGCCGCCATGCCCAGCTAATTTTTTGTATTTTTAGTAGAGACGGGGTTTCACCATGTTGACCAGGATGGTCTCGATCTCCCGACCTCGTGATCCACCCGCCTCGGCCTCCCAAAGTGCTGGGATTACAGGCTTGAGCCACCGCGCCCGGCCTTGTTTTTATTTTTATTTTTATTTTGAGACGGAGTTTCGCTCTTGTTACCCAGGCTGGAGTGCAATGGCGCGATCTTGGCTCACCGAAACCTCCACCTTCTGGGTTCAAGCAATTCTCCTGCCTCAGCCCCCCGAGTAGCTGGGACTACAGGCGCGCGCCACCGTGCTTGGCTAATTTTTTTGTATGTTTAGTAGAAACGGGGTTTCACCATGTTGACCAGGATGGTCTCGATCTCTCGACCTCGTGATCCACCCGCCTCGGCCTCCCAAAGTGCTGGGATTATAGGCGTGAGCCACCGCGCCCGGCCTAGTAGCTGTTTTTATTACCTAATTTCAGAGTGTGTGGGAGCACTGGGTGTGACTTTCCTGTAGTTTTCCTTTTAATGTCTAATGTGGGGTCCCCTCTGCCCCATGCACAGTTTTGGAAAAGTGTCTAGGGAGGGCGGATGTGTGGAAGTAATATTGAGAAGATGGAACCACACAGGTTGGGCCAGAAAGGGTGGGCTGCAAGATGCACTGCCATCGATCCAGAGGGCGACCCCAGGAAAGGTCAGCCACGGGCTGCCAGCCTTGCGTGGTACTGATTTATAGGCCTCCTGGGCAGTGAGCTACGGGGTGACAGACAGACGGACAGGTGGATAAATCGGACTCCAGTGGACAGGCGATGACCGAGTAGCTGACGAATGCACAGACACATGGCCGAGTGTGGACGGATTTGTCATTCGCAGGGTTAGGCTAGTGACTTTGAGAGGGACAGAAAGACGGATGGGAGTGGCTGGAGGCCTGGGAGCCGTCCACCTGCCCGCTCAGCCGCGAGGGGGCGCCACCACCCTGCCCAGCGACGCCCACTGCCCGGGTCCGCGGCGGGGGCGGGGCCAGCAAGTTCGCGGGGGGGAGGTGATCGGGGGCGGGGCGCGCGTGCACGCGGGGGCGGGGCGCGGGGCGCGGGGCGCGGGGCGGGCGCGGGGGCGCGCGGCGGCGGCGCGTTCCGTTCCGGGCCGAGGCTCGCGGCTGAAAAGTTGCGGGGCAGAGAGGAGCGGCCCCGGGACGGGCAGCTAGCGCGACGCCGAGCCGGCACCCGGCGCCCGTGGTCGGGCCATGGACGACCTCGGTGAGTGAGCGGGAGGCCGAGGGAGGAGGAGGCGAGGGGCGCGCGGCTCCGGGCCGAGCGGGCGCCTGCCAGCGGTGGGGGCCAGGGGATCCCACCCTCGGCGGCCCCGGCCTCAGCTCCAGTCCCCGTCGGCCGGGGCTCCGCGGGGCGGGGATCCCTAACCCGGCCTCAGTCCCGGGCCAGGCCGGCCCCAGCACCGTCCGCACAGCAGCCACCCCCCCTGCCTGGGACGGCTTCACCTCTGGATCTCCGACCTCGGGGACCCACCCCCATCTCACAGAAGGGGCCCAGGAACCAGCTCGCCCCTCAGGGACCCACCCCGTCCGCTGCAGGGACGGGACTTCCTGGACCAGACCCCCTCATCAGCTACCGGACCCTCACCTCGCAGACCTCTCCCCACCCCCACCTCACAGATCCACCGCCCGGCTTTGGGAGCAGCTGCCCGATTTCATGTGTTGCTCCCTCATTTCCTCGACCTGCTACTCGTCCCTCCAGGGCCGCCCCCCACTTCACAGACTGACACCCCCCCTTCGGGGATAACCCCTCTGAGCCCACCCCTTTCATTTCACAAGTCAGATGCACAAGCTAGAGATGAGCGTGTTATTTGTGGTGACCACACCCCCATTTCAAAGACGAGTTTCCCAGTCTGCCTGCCCTCCTGATCCCCCACTTCAAATCTGGCCACCCGCGTTTCAAGGACCTGTCACTCATTTTCTCTCACTGCCCTCCCCACTCTGTGGACCAGCCTCTCAATTCACAGACCAGTCCGCCTGCCTACATATCTAAGTGTAGAACAGTAATTTGGGGGCTCCTGATTCTCTCCCCACCCCCAGATTCTGGTGAAATGCCAGGGGAATGAGGTGGGAGGTAGGTCCCAAGGTATGGCTATCCCTGAACGTGTCCTGGCTAGCAGGGTCCCTCCACCTCCTCGGCATCAGGCCCTGCTGGAAACCATAGAGGTAAAGAGGACAGGATGCCCAGAACAGAGTTTTACTGTTTGTCTGTTATTGGAGCCCCAAGGCTACTCTTTTCAGTCCAGTCTTGATCTGCTGTTAGGGGAAAGAAAAGTATCTCCTGGAAGCGGACTCTAAACCCAAGGGGGTTGGAGCCAGGGTTTTAGGAATGCCTTGGGTGGCGTGAACGCAGGAGTGGGAGTATTCACTGTCTCTTCCTCCCCTTCACGCCTGTGGCTGGAGGGCCCTGAGTTCGGGAGGTGAGGAGAGGGGAAACGTTTCTTCTCTGTAGGAGCCTTGTCTTTCCTCTCTGGACTGTGGGTGGCTTGTGTCACCACTGATGCTTCCTCTGTCCCAGGCTCTGAGGAGTAGATTCAGCAGACAGGACTGATGGACCTCTACCAAGCAGCGCCGGGCACTAAGTTAAGACTGGCTATTTGTAGGCGCTGGACTTGACTGCTTCCCTCCAGCTTCCTTTTGGGATCAGCGTGCCCCCGAGATCCTGGAACTGGGGGTGATGTAGGGTCCTGCCTGTTTTGCAGAGTGAGATGGCTGCCAAGCATAGTTCTCCCTTTGGGTCAGGCTTGGCACCCATTTTTCCAGTGTGCTCAAGGTTGGCATGGCTTCCAGGCAGGTATTTTTTTTTTTTTTTTTTTTTTTCTCACATAAAAATAGCTCAGCTGGAAGGAGGCTGGGGATGTTCTGTGAACCAGGATCTCAGAGTCTCAGTGCTTTCCCAGTGGGAACTGGGAGCAAAGTTATAGTTTCTAAAATGCTGGTGCAGTTCTGTTGCTTCTCGTCAGTCCCGGTGCCGTTTCAAGGACTGAGAAAGTCTTTGTAGAGTTTGCTGTCGAAATCCGGAATTCCTGTCTTCTGACAGTCTTCCATTTAGGGCCAGGAAGCTGAGTTCTGAAAGTAAAGAGAGTACTGTATCCAGCAGAGGGGATTGTAGCGATTTAAATTGCTGTTTGTGGAGTTCTTCCCTATACCTCGATTTGTGCTATCTTCACAACAACCCTTTTATCAGATTCCCCCTTAAGGCCAATGCTATCATGACCACCTGCCTTTTTACAGATTGAGAAAGCTGAGACTAAGAGAGGTTGATTCTCTTGCCCAAAGCTGCTCAGCCATAAAATTACAAAACCGTAAATGGAAGCCCAATTCCTAGCTCCTAGATTTGCATCTCTTGTATACCAAGAAGCCTTTTTTTTCGTGGGGAGGAGGCAAGGGCACTTGAAGGAGGGGTTGCCATTGGCTGATGGCAGCCACCTGTAACTTCTGCTGCTTTCTATCATAGGCTCCCAGTTGCTTACATCCAGGCTGCCTGACTTCCTTGGTCTGAGCTCCCCGGGGGCAAGCCACGCCTGGCTGACCAGAGCCTGGGGTGGGAGGAGTGGGGTGTGCAGGAGGGGAGAGGAATCTGCCTCTGCACTGGGGCCCCGTCAGCTGTCTGGATGGTGGCTCAGTATGCTGCCCGTCAGCTGTTTTCCTTAGTTAGGGTGGACACAAAGACCAGGCCTCTTGTTTTTATTTTTCTCCTGAGCATGTGCTTTGTGGTCCCTAAGACCGGGGAGAGTTTACGGTGTGTCCAGTAGCAAGGCCAGAGGGGGCATCACCTCCTCTGTGACTTTGTTTTTTGGTCTAAAAAAAAATTTTGGGAACTCTCTCCTCCCCAGTGACAGACTCGCCATGTACTGTTTAATAAGTTACAAATTGATGGCTCTCTGAGCAGAAAAAGTATCAACACAGCGTGTTCTGCCCTTCCCTGTGTGTTCTCTCCACTTTGTGCTTTGGGGTGGCTGCTTGGTGGCTTTTCTTATTACTGTTTAGATGCTGGTTTGGCCCAGAGTTCACTCTGTTCGAGTTCTGGCCGGAGTTTCCTGGACAGAGTTCCCACAACACAGATGCACTCTGACTGTGTTTTCTAACCCGATTACTCGCTCTGTCTCTGTTCACGTTCTTAGTGTACTTGGTGGGGGGCTTTGACCACAACTGTGGTCTAATTGCGATCACGTGCACTTCATGGGAGAAAGGCACTGTACTCAACACTTTACAAGCTGCATCACAACCTTTCGGAGAGGGCGGTGTTTTACCTCTCCTTTATAGATGTGGAAATCTGAGCTCCAGGAAGTTTAGTGGTGGTGCTGGGATTTGAACCCAAACTCATCCAATTCCAGATCTGGTCACCTTAATCATCGGTAGGTGGTAGGTGCTGGTGACTAACCAAGGGGATGAGCCTTGGGGCCTGCTGAGTAAATGACAATTACCTTTCAAATCTCTGCCCTAGGGGCCATTCCCAGAAAATGGCAAAGGGTGTGTCCAGTGCAAGACTCGTAGCTTTGCCTTCCCATCCTTTAGCAAAGGGAACAGCCAGCTGTTGGCAGTGCCCAGTTGCTGCTGGAATCTGGACATGTCTTCTTTCAGCTTCTCAGCAGTCTTGACCCTTTGGAAAACAGTGCCTCATTGTCCTTGGGGGTAGCGGTAGGGGGGCAGAGGAGTTGCCTGGGGCATTCGGAGCTATGGAGCCTCCCTGTTTCCATGGAAAGTCTGGACTTTGGGCTTGCCTATCTGTGGTCCCTCTGTGTGTCAGGGCAGAGTCAGGGCACCCAGCTGCTGGGCCTGTGGCAGAGGCAGCATTTACCCTTGCAGTGATGGTGCCCTCCTGGTGGGTTCTGCGTCAGTGCCAGGCCGCCTCCTGGGCTGTGTGCTAGTAAAGGGCAGAGCTGGGATTCAAACCCTGGTATGTTTGATTCTTCAGCAGGTGCCCTTTCTGATATGTGAAGCTGTTTGCTGCCTGGGCAGTCATAGGTTGATGGAGACAGGCTCAGGCTGCTGGAAGCCAGGGCCCTGACACTAGGGGTTCAAGGTCTTTTGAGGGAATATCTCAGTATTCCTTTTTTCCCTAGTGATCGTCATGCCTTGCAGAGGCTGGGTATACCCTTGGCTGGAGAGGCTGATGGAATGCCAGAGTTACTGGGGGGCCGCTGAGCAGCCCTCCTCTCCTGTTTAGTCATCGTGCATGGAGTATCTGACTCTGAAGCTTTTCTTGGGTCTTTACCTTGCTCCAAGACCAGAGTTGTTGAATTAACTTCCAGCCTCATTGCAGCCTTTCCCTGGGTTGTGTAAGTCTCAGAGCCTTCATTAATAATAAGAAAATGTGCCAGGTGCGGTGGCTCACGCCTGTAATCCCAGAACTTTAGGAGGCCAAGGCAGGTGGATCGCCTGAGGTCAGGAGTTCAAGACCAGCCTGGCCAACGTGGTGAAATCCCATCTCTACTAAAAATACAAAAATTAGCTGGGCATGGTGGCGCACGCCTGAAATCCCAGCTATTCCGGAGGCTGAGACAGGAGAATTGCTTGAACCCAGGAGGCAGAGGTTGCAGTGAGCTGAGATCACACCACTGCCCTCCAGCCTGGGTGACAGAGCAAGACTCCATGTTGGGAAAAAATAAATATAAATAAATAAATAGATAGATAGATAATAACAAAACCTGGCTGGCATGGTGGCTTATACTTGTAATCCTAGAACTTTGGGAGGCCAAGGTGGGTGGATCATTTGATGTCAGAGAAGTTCAAGACCAGCCTGGAAAACATGGTAAAATCTATCTCTACTAAAAATACAAAAATTAACCAGTCATGGTAGTGTGCACCTGTAGTTCCAGCTCTTCTACTCGAGAGGCCGAGGCAGGAGAATTGCTTGAATTCGGGCGGCGGAGGTTGCTGTGAGCTGAGATCGCTTCACTGCATTCCAGCCTGGACGACAGTGAGACTCTGTCTCAAAAATAAATAAATAAATAAATAAATAAATACAAACAAAATATGTAGAATGCTTTTCTTTCCTTTTCTTTCTTTCTTTTTTTTTTTTAAGATAGAGTCTTGCCCTGTTACTCAGGCTGGAGTGCAGTGGCATGATCTTGGCTCACTACAACCTCAGCTTCCCAGGTTCAAGTGATTCTTATGCCTCAGTCTCCCATGTACTGGAAATTACTGAGCGTGCCTCCATGCTGAGTTAATAATTTTTGTATTTTTCATGGAGACGGGGTTTTA